TTGTCACATTTCCCTTGAGCTGTAGTACAATTCTGTATCTCCCCAGCAATGTATAAGAACTCCTGTTTCTCCACAGTTGTCAAACTTGGATTTCTGCCAATTTGATAGGTACGGAATCTGAATGGAGCTCTTTAAAAATACAAAAAGCACATTCCTCCTCCTAGAGATTCTTGTGTAATAGTTTGAGCTGGGACCTGGCCATATGTATATATTTCTAAATTCCCACTGGTGATTTCGTTGCCTAGTCAGGGTTGAGAACTCCTGTGACAAATTTGCCAAATTTCCTTTGTATTCTCACAAGTAGTCTACATGAGATTTTGTTGCCTAGTCAGGGTTGAGAACTCCTGTGACAAATTTGCCAAATTTCCTTTGTATTCTCACAAGTAGTCTACATGAGACCACCAATACTGGATGTCATTAAGTTGTTTATCCTCTTTGCTAATTTGGTATCAGCCGTTCCTTTTACCTTTTTTTTCTGTTATGTACTTGCTGCCTCCTAGCCCAGACTTATGTCTTTCCAAATGATTCTCTCTTACCTTCCCTGCTGAGGCCCCTGTCTGCTCAGACCTAAGACCCCTGTCCCAAGATGTCTGGGAGGCCACAGAGCCTTGACATTGTGGTCTGCAGGTGTCTGACTTTCGGGAGCAGCTGCTGGCATGTGCTGGGGTGGAAGCCGAGCGAGTGGTGGAGTTTTCCTGTGGTGAGGATCCATGTGCATCCTGGGTAGAACGGGCCACATAGTCAGCTTATGGCCCCTTGTCATAATCGAACTATATGCTATCATCAGGCCTCGGGGGCTGGGGAGACCACAGGGTTGGCGCTTCATTCTTTGTTAGCTCTCTTGTGAGTTCACCACCTCCATGCTCTCATGCTCTGTGCCCCCTCTGCATGGGAGAGGTTGAGCAACACCACTTTATTGTGGAAACAGGGTGAGTGGGTGAGTGTAATTACTCGGTCTAGAAGACAAGGGTTGGGTAGTGCTTTTTCTGGACTCTGCCTTGCAGAACACCTCTGCACCTCCAGTTTTCAGCCTCTCACTGGGTCTCCCCAGGTCACGTGATCCCTCCAGACAACATCCTGCCCCTCATCATCTGCAGTGGGCCCTCCAACCAGCAGCTGGAATTTACATACCTGAAAAGAGAGCTGCCTCAGATGGTTATTCCCAGCCAGCCTGCTTCACCACAGCCTTTGCTAGGGTAGAAGAGAGATTTCTTGATTGTGGGGCACTTTGGCCAATCCTGAGTATTCAGGCATTGGGAAAATTAGTACTGGGTCTTCCATCACAAGGCTGGCACAGGTGAAGAGGATCTAGATGTTTATCAAGGAGG